AAATGTGCTTCTTAAAAAGCTGGAAGATATGGGAATTGCGATAGCTGACATGAGAGGTCAGGGCTACAATAATGGTGCCAACATGAAAGGAAAGAACAGAGTGCAGACACGGATCCGAGAGTTAAACCTTCAAGCTTTTTTCATCCCATGCAGTTCTCATTCATTGAACTTGGTGGTGGGTGATGCAGCATAGGCTTCTAGTGAGGTTGCTGAATATTTTAATGTAATTTGAAGCATCTATGTATTTTTTTCTGCATCAACTCATCGATGGCAAATTTTGAAGCAACATCTGGGAACATCCTCTCTGACACTGAAACCACTGAGTGCCATGTGATGGGAAAGTCTAATGGAGGCGATAAAGCCTATGAAACACCAAATTGGGATGATAGATGGTGCCATAGTTGCCATTATGGAGGATAATGCTATGACAGGAACTGTTCATGGGAGAACAGTGGCAGAGGGAAATGGAATCACCAGAAACATACATAATGTAAAATTTCCGTGTGGCTTAGTGTTGTGGCATGACATACTGTTTGAAATAAATGTTGTAAGTAAGAGACTCCAACGTGTTGACCTTGATATATCTGGAACAGTGGAACAACTGGACAAAGCAAAGTAATACCTACAGTCTTACCAGTCAGATGAGGAATTTCAAAACGTTCTGAAGAGTGCACAGAAGTTGGCAGAGGAACTTCACACTGAAGCTATTTTCCCACCCATTCAAGAATACAAGAGTCACTGAAGAAGACGACATTTTGATTATGAGACACGGGATAATCCCATAAGAGACCCCAAACAACAATTCAAAGTTGAATTCTTTAACCAGGTGCTAGATTGTGCAATACAATCAGTTGAAGAACGTTTCATGCATTTCAAGGAACACAGCAATATATTTGGGATGTTGTATGATATTCCAAAACTCCTCACTATACAGCAATGCAGGGCACTAGAGACAGTGTTGACACATGATGACATGCGCAATATTGATGTGAGTGATTTAGGTGATGAACTGAAAGCTCTTTCAAGATACATTTCAGCAAGATCAACTCCAAAGGCTGTTCTGGAATATATG